ACTTAGAAAGTATAGAACTTCTTGAAGATATCTTAAGTGGTTGTGACCAGAATGCTCATAGAAATGTGGGCAGTAAACGTATACCATGGAGTTCTACTTAACCACAGAAAACAAATAGTGATTGTTGCATTATCTTGCATTATCCTGGATAGAGCTGGAACCCATTCGACTAAGTGAAGTATCACAAAAATGGAAAAACAAGCACCACATGTACTCACCATCAAATTGGTATTAACTGATCAACATACAGTAATAACATTCATCGGGTATTGGGCAGATGGGAGGGAGGGGAGGGGATAGGTGTATCCACACCTAATGGGTGCAGGGGGATGGACACGCTTGAAGCTCTGAATTGGGTGAGGCAAAGGCAATATATGTAACTTAAACATTTGTACACCTATAATGTGTTGAAATAAAAAAAATATGGGCAATAAAGGCTATTCTGATGATATTTCAAATGTAAACAAGGAATTTGTTAGTGGAAACTTGAGTAAAGGTCACCCTTATTATAAACTGGCAAGGAACTAGGCCAAATTGTGTCCAATAACCTAGAATCTTCTCGAAGGCAGAATTTAAGAACAATTTTTTTTTTTTTTTTTGAGACAGCATCTCATTCTGTTAACTGGGCTAGAGTGTCGTGGCATCAGCCTAGCTCACAGCAACCTCAAACTCCTGGGCTCAAGCGATCCTCCTGCCTCAGGCTCCCAAGTACCAGGGACTAGAGTCATGCGCCACCATGCCTGGCTAATTTTTTCTACATATTTTTTAGTTGGCCAATTAATTTCTTTCTATTTTCAGTAGAGAAAGGGTCTCGCTCTTGCTCTGGCTGGTTTTGAACTCCTGACCTTGAGTGATCCACCAGCCTTGGCCTCCCAGAGTGCTAGGATTATAGGCGTGAGCCACCATGCCCATCCAGGAACAATTAATGAGAATATCTGGCAGAAGAACTTTCTAAGCAAAATGTTCAAGGAATTGTGTGGCTAGTTTTAACTGTGTATAATAAGATATGAGAGGAGGGAAATGAGTTAAAGACAGAACTTATAATTAAAAGTTAAGCAGAGCAAAATATTTAGAAAATTTGCAGCCTGACCTTGTAAAGAGTTAAAAAGCATCTTTAAGGGATCAAACCAAGGGTGTAGCTAAGCCATCCTTTGCTAAAGAGATTAGTATGGATAGAAAGGAGCCAGGTGCTACTCATTAAGACAGTAGGAAAAAGACCCTGAAGACATTTCAGACATCTTCAACACTCTTCCTTCCATCCAGAACCTTGAAGGCAATGTTTCCAGAAAGATGCCCTCAGGACCACAGCATTTGCTCCACAGCGCCACTTTTAAGTGTCTACTTCCCACACTCTGGCATATTGCTTTTAAGTCTTCCCAGCCATGGTCCTAGAAGGCCTTGTCACCACTCAGAAGATACAGGCTGTAAACCTTGGCAGCATCTGCATGGTGCTAATTCTGCAGGCATGTGAAGTGCATGAACTATGGGGCCATGGAAGCTTCCACCTAGATTTCAAAGTATGTACCAGACAACCTAGGGGTCCAGGTAGAGATATGTCACATGGGTAGAACCAGCACAGAGAACTTCCACTAGGGTAATACCTAGTGGAGCCATGAGAGCAAAGATATTCTCCCCAGGGTCTCCAAGAAACAGCACATGAAGTGAAAGTGAAAGTGGAGTCTAAAGAGTTATGTTGTCTGCCCGGTTGAATTTTGGACTTATCTAGGGCCAGTTACTCCTTTCTTCTTGTCTGTGTCTCTTTTGAAAATGGAAATGTCCATCCTCTGCCTGTACCACTATTGTATTTTGAAAAGATATATGTTGTTTTGACTTCACATGCCCAGAGCTAGCGGGGAATTTGCTGCAGGATTGGCTGAGCCTTGAGCCTCACAAATATGTGATTTAGATGAAACTCTGGATTTGGAAATTTTAGTTAATATTGGAACAAGAAATCGATAAAAAATACTTGAGTCAATTGACAAAATTATAAAATGAATGGTAGATTATTGCAAAATTATTACATCAATGTTAAATACACCAAAGCCAGTAACTGTAGTGTGGATATGTAAGAGAATATCCCTATTCTTAGGAATTCACGCTGAAGTAATCAGGTCTAAAGGGTCATGATTTAAGTACTTTAGCTTCAAAGGGTTCTGCAAGATAATTATAAAGATAATGGGATGGAACTGGGTAAAAGTTGTGCAGATATTCTTTGTACTAGTGATATTCTTGCAACTTTTCTATAAGCTTGAAATTATTTGCAAATAAAAAGCTAAAAAAAAAAGACTTTGGAGTCTATTGGGATGGAATGAATTTTGAATGTGAAAAGGACATGAATTTGGAGGACCACTGGCAGAATGCTATGGTTTGAATATGTCCCCCACAGTTCATGTATTGGAAACTTGCTCCCCTATGTGACAGTATTTTGAGGTGGTACCTTTAAGGGGTAACTAGGTCAGGAGTGCTCAGCCCTCATGAATGGATTCATGCTGTTATCATGGTAATGGGTTATATGTCATGGAAGAGAATTCATTATACTGGGAGTGGTTTCCTCATAAATTCTGAATTTGGTCAGTTTTCCTCTCTTTCATCCATGTGATGTCTTCTGCCATTATTATGACACAGCAAGAAGGCCCTCACTGAATGCAGCACTTCGATCTTGAATTTTATATCTTCCAGAACCATGAGCCAAATAGATTTCTGCTCATAAGTTACCAACTCTCAAGTATTCTGTTATAGCATCCAAACTGACTAAGATACAGAGCCACTCATAAAATTAACGTAAATCCTGTGATTAAAATTCAGATAAATCAGACTAATAGGTTGTTGACCACACCAATTGAAAGCAGTAGAGTATTTAACAATATTTAGAAGGGATTATGAGGACTTAGACTCACAAGAAAGACTTTTTTTTTTCTATTTTTATAACATTTTATATAACTCATAAAACAGTGCTTGTATAAAAATTCACACAAAGTTGCTAGAGAGCATACAATTTCCAAAAATGTCCTGGGTTTTTGTTACATTCAGTTTTCTAAGGATGCACGCAAATCAATGGTAAAATGCAGACATGTGATATTTCATTATCTTTGGTAAAACTATTCTCATTATTTTGTCTCCTCACAGTATTAACTCTGATATTCACTTTGTGCAGGGTCTGCTATTACTAGGATGTCAGAAAAGCATTAAGGCTGGATCTACGAGAGGCAAGTATTTCCACGTAGCAGTGACAGCCCCCGGCCCCCGCCCCCACTTCAGTGTATCCACACCGTCTAGCTACACAGCCGGGGAGGGTGACAGCGCAACGGCCTGCCATCAGCAGTCTGGAGACCCCCTCTCAAGTGGGCAAGAAGCAAACACTGGGTGGGGGAAACAGTGGAAACTGAGGCCACCTCTAGAGGAACCCAGGTGGCCACGCTGTGGTGTAGTCAGGCCAGCGACCCTCACCTTTCTGACAGCCCATCCATTCACCACTAAGTAGATCCCATAGGTTGGCTGATGATTGCAGCTGATGTGCTGCTCCTCCCCCTAGACTTAAAAGGAAAGGAAGGTTTGGGGCCAACAGCAAAGGGGGAGGAGCACATGAGTGCTAATGACACTAGACACAACTTTATTCCCTGTCAAATGGTTTGTTGTCATGTAGACACAGCCAAGGTGAACTGAAGCAGGATTCCATCACTCAGTACATTCACGACTATCTTCATATATTCTTTAAAAACTTACTAACAGAGAAGATGATGAAGACTATCACCTATAATCAGAGGATAATAAGTATTAAAAATTAGGGCTAGGACTCTTCGTGCTTTATACCGTAAGATAAGAATCAGTTCCATCTAATACAGTAAATACAATAGAATTTGCTACAATATTGTAACCATATCCATGAACAAATTTCAATGACCCCTATATGATTTTTTATAATCCTCTCCCTTAACTAACTATTTAATCTATTTTTTTTTTATTTCGGCATATTTTGGGGGTACAGATTTTAAGGTTTCAATAAATGCCTTTCCCCCTCCCCTACAAGTCTGATTCCCAGCATGACCATCCTCAGATGGTGCACATTCCACTCATTATGTATGTATATTCCGCTCCCCCTCCCCCCCTCCCATACCCTGTTACTGTTAGTACCTATGTTCCACTTAGGTGCTACTCAGCTATATACCAGTTTGCTGGTGAGTATATGTGGTGCTTGTTTTTCCATTCTTGGATACTTCACTTAGTATATGGGTTCCAGGCTCTAACCAGGAAAATATAATATGTGCTATATCACCGTTGTTTTTTAGAGCTGAATAGTACTCCATGGTATACATATACCACATGTTATTAATCCATTCTTGGATTGATGGACACTTGGGCTGTTTCCACAGCCTTGCAATTATGAATTGTGCATCTATAAACATTCGAGTGCAGGTGTCTTTTTTGTAAGTGTCATGGTGGATCTTTTGGGTAGATGCCCAGCAATGGGGGATTGCTGATCAAATGGTAGATTCACTTGTATCGCTTTAAGGTATCTCCATATTGCTTTCCACAGAGGTTGGACTAGTTTGCAGTCCCACCAGCAGTGTAGGAGTGTTCCTCTCTCTCCACATCCACGCCAGCATTTGTTATTTGGAGACTTTTTGATAAAGGCCATTCTCACTAGAGTTAAGTGATATCTCATTGTAGTTTTGATTTTAACCTTTTTAGTTGTGTCCTGGAGATGGTTGATTTTCTGTTAAGACAAAGGAGTTGAGATTCTGAAGGCCTGTGGGCAGATTTCCTGATATCAAGAGTCTCCATCCTCCCAAACCTGCCCCCAATGTACCTTACCCACTTGTTAGTTACACCACAACCTGACCCAAGGCATGTGACCCCTTCTTTAAAAGTCCATGATCTCCATCTCTCTATTAGTGGGGGCGATGGATTTGAAGCAGTTTCTCCCATGTTCTCCCAATAAGACATGCATCATACTAAAAACTCGTTTATTCCTTGGCAATAAAAATTTTCCCAATAATAGGATCTTTGTGTGATGAGCAACTGGACCTTGGCCAAAACTCCCTCACGGTTTTGATGCCGATATTCCATGAGCTACAGAATCTGTAATAAAATCAAACTCTTAATTTTGTGCTTTATTTAATACTTCAGGTCTACATTGCAAGCAAATTAAACTTTGTGTTAATAACTATAATGTGAAAGCACATGATTTCCACAGAGTATAGCAAAAGGGTATATAGTGTGTAACTAGTGGAGAAGTATTTTTAATGTATAACATCCAAAATTGTATTGTATTTAAGATATGAAAAAATTAAACATATTATTCTCTTATAAACAATTAAATTTTAACAGGAAACCAGCCACAGAAGAAAATAACTTGGAACTTAATTAAGACATGGAAAATGTACCAGTTCAGATGTTTTTTACTACAAAAGTCAAATAACCCATTAAGTCTTACTTAAAAAGGACTAAAATGCATTTTATCACATAACAAGGACCCCGGGGACAAAGCAGGTGTACGTGCTTTGGTTCAGGCATTCAGTAATTGTAATCAATGACCTGGATCTTTCATTTAATTTTCCAAGCATTCTCAATGTTTTTCCCTGGACCTTAGATGTGTTCCCTCAGGATATATGATGGCAGTATCTGTTCCTGGCATCATACATAGATTTTACTGCAATAACTGGACAGAGAAGAGGAACATATACCCCCTATTGTGTGTATTTAAAATTTTTATTGGAGAGAAAAAATATTTTCAATAGCCCCTCAGGAGTCATTTCCTCTAATATCATTGACTATGTGTGGTTAATATGCATATACAATAGGATTATACAGAACTGGGAAAGTGAGTGTCTAGCATTTTCAGTCTTTATACTGGACAGTGGGATTCATCACATCTTGTGCATATTTAGACAATTAGACTCATTCCATTATGCTTGTATTCTTCCCTAGACTGTAGGTTGGTTTTAATTCATATTCAATATATTTTCTTTCTATAAGTGAAAGGGAAAGAAAAAGAAGACAGAAAGAAAAATAGGGGAAGAGGGGAGGAAGGAAGGTAGAAAAGAAGGGAGCAAGGAAGGGGAGAGAAGAATATTAATTGTAAATTTTGAATGTGGAGGACCTTACCCCTTGCCCAAGCTATGTCACTCCAGTGATAAAACTAGAGAAAAGTAGCATGCTAACTGAGCAACATTAAAGTAGCACATCAATCTGCTTTATTTTTTGAAGCTCCTTTGGTATCTTATTATTAACGTCTATTTTAAGGCATTTCAACAAAAAATAAGGGACTATCTCTTCACCCATGCTCAATATACTTATGCTGATGCCATATACAACTTTCTTGAAGTTGTATCAAAAGTTTAAAATTCATATAAATAATTTAGCCATAGCTGTTTCTGATAGAAAGTAATTCTTATTTCCTTCAGACTATACAATCATTTTGAAAATGATTAATTTTTAATCACAATGAAGTTAAACATATTACCTTATTGTGGAATGATTGGGTAATTAGGATAAGATGCAGAAATATAAATTGGGTCTACATCCAGTGATTTAATGTGTAGCTTTGGAGTCAAATGCATACAACTAGGAACACAAAATTTAAGTCCTGTGTTAAGCTCCTCATTTTTATATGGTCGCCTTTGCTATATGCTAAAGAAGGGCAAGACTTAACTGCAATATAATGCCATTAGGCACATATTACACTATAATGGGGCTAATATCACTAACGTTGAAGTCACAGTGATTTTCAGTGCTCCAGAGGAACAATAATGAAGCATAAAACATGCCCTGAAGTGGGTTAGTGCTTTTTAAATGACCAGCACTGATGAAATCTGTCTCTTAATACATGAATAAACATTACTGACAAAATTCATGGCATAATGAGAGCCATAGCATAAATACTGAAAAAGTGGAAACTTTTGACAAATAAAAATGTACTGAGGAAAGAAAAAAAAAATTCCTTTGTTGTTGATAAAAATGAGTTGTATTTAGACATGTTTTATATACACCAACTTGGTCATTAAACATAATTTATTTTAAAGAATAATTATTTGAGCATCATCTTCTAATTTATATTCCTTTCACTTCTTTCTTTGACTAATATAATAACTGCCTATACATATACTTGACATATAATGGGTCTTCATTGTTGAATGTGTAAATGAGTAGATTGAAAAGTTTACTCTCTCTTTTTCTCTTTCAATTTGAATTTCATTCCATAGCATCAATGTTGCATATTACTTCTTCACATAAAAATATCATTATAGCCTTTGATTGTCTCACATCTAAATTATATTTTTAATTGTCTATAGAATATATTGGGTTTAGAAGCATGTCATATTATTATAAAATATTTCTATGCCAGATGTATGATCCACCTATAAAGGTTTAGTTCATTTACCAAGTAGCATTTTATGACCTGTATTTAGTCCATCGCATTTACCAACAAAGTGGTCAAATATTTCAACAAACATTTGTTGAACAAATAAGAATGATAAGAAACACTGGAAGAATATAATGAAAGACAATAGATGAGACTTACTTTCAAAATAATTAAAATCTATTGAGAGAGAGAACATGAAAATGACAAAGCCAAGAGACATTTATAAATAATTTTGAAATTAGAATATTTGTTCATGAATGAACAAAGGGTATATTTTTTTCAGTTGATGTTTAGGGATTTACACACATGAAAGATCCTTAGATAATTTGAATAGTGCTATACTTGTATAAGGACACAACAATTTGTTAAGTTATACCAGTAAGAACCCCAGCATTATCACAGTGAAGAAAGAGCCAAGCAAGATTCTTTCTTGTCTCCAGTAGAGGAAGAGGCAAAATAGCCAATGCAAAATAGAACCAGAGTGTTTTTCATAAAAATGTTCTACTCTCTAGGAAAAAAGACTTTAGCTGATCCTCATCCTATCTAGGAAAAGGGAATTTCCCCCACTCTAACCCCAACTAACCTTCATGTCTCACTTACAAGCAGGGAAAATAAGAAGCTAAGAAACACTTGTAAAAGTCAGAGCCTGCAAACATAGCCCACTAAAAGAATGAGACTCAAGCATAAGATTATATTAATTGGAATTTATTTCAGGTATGCAAAAATGATTCAACATTTGAAAAGTCAACCACATCTATGGGCTAAAGAAAAAAATTATATAATCATATCAAGCGATGCAGAAATAGAATGTGAAAAAATACAACACAGATTCATGATAAAAACTCTCAAAAACTAGAAATGGAATGAAACTTCCTCAACATGATAAAGGGCATCTACAAAACACCTACAGCTAACATCATATTTATTGATGGGAAGCTGGAAGCTTTCTCCCTAAGTTCAGGGAACAAGGGTAATCTTTCTCACCGCCCATATTTACCAATATTTACTACCATATTTACTGGAAGTCCTAAAAAGGGTAATTATACAAGAAAATGAAATAAATGATATAGAAATTGAGAAGGAAGAATGTTTACAGTAACTTTATTCACAATTGCTAAAAACTATAAGCCACTAAGTTTCCCTTCAGTGTGTGAGTAAACTGTGATACATTAATATAACTATATATTATGCCATGATAAAAAATAAATGAGCTCTCAAGCCACAAAGAGACATGAATGATCATTAAATGCATGCTATTAAATGAAGGAATTCAGTCTGAAGTGTCTACATACCAAATGAGAATTGTTATGTGATATTTTGGAAAAAGCAATACTGTAGAAACAATAACAAGTTAAGTGGTTGCTAGGGGTTGAGTAGGTGAAATGCAGGAGACTTTTTAGGGCAAGGAAACTATTCTGTATGATACTATAGTGGTAGATACATGACATTAAACATTTGTTGAAATCCATACAACTGACAACACAGAGTCAAACTCCATGAATACAACTATAAGCAAAATCATTTAGCTGGTTAGAGGATCCCAGGATAGAATGAAGGCTGGGATGAAAGAATCTATAATACCTGTAATTACAAATGTATGAAACTACTTTACAAAAAGAGGTTGGGGGAAATGGTGCTAGCCTATGTTAGTTTGAAAATGAGTAGACACAGTAAGACTAGAGGCAAAAGGAACTGCATATAACCACTGTACTCTAGTTGATAAAGTTGTTTACTGCGAAAGTACAGGTTCATAATTCTGATATTGCTATACATGTTTAATGAAGATGTGCAATTAAGTAAATGAATGGCAGATTCTGGGAGCAAGGTTCTCTACCTTTGGATAGGGAGGTTTCAAGTAAGCAAGGAGAGGGGGCAAAAATGATATAGGTGATGATAGATTGAAATTGGAAACATCAGTATGAGTTCATATCTAGCTTAATATAGATATAAGTGGTAAAACATACAAGCATTTAGATATGTGTGTAAATGTACCTGATGGTAAGAAAATGGAAGATTTTTTCCTAAGATTAGGAAGAAAAATGACTTTTCTCACTTTTCGTATTTAACATCATAGTGGAAATCCTAACAAGGGCAATTAGGCAATACGTGTTATTGTCTACACATAAATTTTCTAGGCTGAGAAGGCCTAGAAAAAAATGTAGTAGGCCAGTAGTAATGTAGTATAAAATGTAGTAAAATGTACATAAAAATGTAGTACCCCAGTAGTAATGAGTGGACCTAGAATCTGGATCTTGTGAACCAGACTCCTTGGAGAAATGTCTGACTCCAGGGTTTGAACAGGAAATAAAAAACACAAGACTAGAGCATCATGCAAAGTCATAAAGTAAGGAAGCTTTAAAAACAAAATAGAACAAATTGATAGGTATACATCAAAGAGGCACAGAAGTCAACTGAAAGAGCTCCCAATGGCCAAACTTAGAACAATTTAAGCAACAAAATAAATGAAGAAGTATTGGATTATAACCTAAGTATAGAATGGATATCCATTGGTCCATACTAATATAAATAAATGATTCAATAAATAAATAAATTGGGAAGAAGTGATGGATCTCCCATATAGAATTCTAAATAATGTATGTAGATCATCTGCCCTAAAGGAGGGGGAACATTATTCTCCACCTTTGAAGTGCATTCTGCACACAACTGCTTCCTCTCAGTGAGTTCAGTGTGGAAAGAAAGCTATAAGGTAACTTTACTGTGTAGAAATCTGATTAATATTACATTAGCCAGAGATCAAGGTCAGTACAAACAGTGGTAAATCAGGTTGACAGTGTGTACCCTTGATATTATATGATGGAAATGGCAATTTACCTCTGTGGTATTTCCCCTACAAATGTATAATCCCAATGTAGACACAAAAATCCACAGGACAAATTCCAACAGAGGAACATTCTACAAATACCTAATCAGTATGCCTCACAACTGTCAAGGATATCACAAGCAAGAAAAGTCTGACAAACTATCACAACTAAGAAGGATATAGGAGAAATACAACTAAATGGTGTCCTGGATCAGATGCTGAAACAAAAAAAAAAAATGACATTTGGTCAAAATCTAATAAACTGTGAGTGAGGTAAGGATTTTAGTTAATCATAGTGTATCAATATTGATTCACTCATCATAACAAATGTGAGATATTAATAATAGGAAAACTGGATATGGGACATGTAAGTACTCTCTGTACTATTTTTTCAATTTTTTAAAAAATATACAAGTATTTAAAAATATAATGCCTACTTTTAAAAAAGGATTTACATGTAAAAAAGAGAGAAAAACTTTATAACACTGCTGAAAGTTCAGTATTATGGGAATTTTCAAACGTCTTCATGGCTGTATTAGCTTTACTTCAAATTTTTAACTGCTAAATGTTCTGTTTTTTTGCTTCTTCCCTCTATCACTATCTAGAGAAGTATTGAACCATGATTTCGTTGTACATGGTGGAAGAGAAGCCAAGCAGGACATTAGGTTGGGGCTTTAGCAGAATGTTTTAAGTGGCTCTTTAACACATTAAGTTTTGTTTTAACACTTCATAATTGTAGCATTTAAAAATATTTCACTGTATTCTACCTTTAGTATTGTCAGTTAATATTCTTTTTCTCAGTATAGTATTTTACATAATCACATAATTCCTGAGACATTGCATTTTTACTTAAAAGCAAAAGGCTAAATGACAAAATTGAGGTAGATCTGGCCCTCTTTATAACACATTTCAAAGGATTTGGTTAATAGGAATAAAATATTTTAAAGGCTTAATATTTCAAAGTTTTTTTTTATTGAGTGAGGAACCTCTAGTGAGTTTACACTTGGCTGATGAAAGACTAAATAATTCCTTAGCCCATTAAAATTAACTGAATGATATATCAAGCCAGCAAATCATTAATATTTGTGGTTAATGTTCAAAACACTTGGTTCCTTACTGAGATACTTTTATGTCTGCTTAAAATTTCAGATCATTGAAACTCTGTGGTTTAAATACTGTTTTCAAAATAAATAAGTACTTATTCTTAATTGCAGAGAAAAGTACATTAAATTTCATGTGATCTTTATTGCTCTGTATCATACTGCTTTTCATTTATTTTTTAACCTGTAATAAGGCCCTCTGTGTGGAGCATTTCACAACCAGAAAGCTAAAAACATTAAAGAGCCAATTTGTATGCATAAAAGTAATGTAACTTATGCTATTGATGGAAAGTGGGCCCTTGAAGAAGAAACAAAATTCTTTAGTAGTTAGCCAAGTATATAAGCTCTGTTAGGCAAATTAACAATAATTATAACAAAATTAAGCTGAGGTTTTAATTCTTTATAGGTCATTCTTAGGCATTGGTTTTGTATTGGCACTGACCTTCAATTGTGAATATTAGATACGTATTTGCAGTGATTCATGAGCATGAGCACATACATATCTGTGGTTCCTGTATAAAAAGAGAGATAAAACTAACTATGAAAGTATAAAATCAAGTGTGTGATATAAATATTCAAGAAAATCTTCTAAAATAATAAAAATAAAATATATAATTTCCTAACAGTGGTTACAGAATAAAGAATATCTGATAAATCTAACAAAATTTAAAAAATGAGGAAAAAAATGAAAGCAAATGCCATGGTAAACAGCAAAATGTAAGTGGTAAAAGTGCATAAAATTAAAGTTTAACAAAATCCAGACAAATGCAATTTTTGAAAAGCTAAACTAAAATATTCATGCAGAGGAAAATGGAGTGTAGGAGAGATGAATAACTTTTTAAATGCTAATAAAAATAACACTGGATTGGATCCATTATTATTAAAATAGATTCCCAGATGAGAAGCTTAATTAAGGATAAAGAGGTTTATAACTAAAAATAAACTTTGATCATGTGATGAAGGAAGAAAGTCAAGTCAAAAAGCGAAACAGTAGCAAAGATTTAGAAGAACGAGACTATGAAAAGTGAATTGGGAAAACAGGGAAACTGTAGCGTAACTAGACCATAAATTTTACATGGAAGTTTGCAGAGAAAATAAGGAATAGCACTTCACAAGTGACTAGTAAGATACTTGGAATGAAATTTATTTGACTTTGTAAGGAATTTAAAATATTCTTGCAATCATTTACATAAAAATTTAATTAAAAAAACAAAACAAAATATAAGTGTGCCAGGGTGAGGGAAATTCATCTGTATAAGCAGTAAGCTTCTTAGGCCAGACTAAAGTAATTGCCGGTATGTCTTCTGCCAGCCTTCCAGGGAGGCATAAGTCAACACACGTATGTAACCAAGGTGTTATCACCCATGTGAATCCATGTGATCACGCTTTCCCGTGGCATGTTGCCACTATTATTCTAAGCCATATATAAGCACTCACCATATTCTCGGCCATGCTTTTGCTGCTGCATCCCCTCCTACCCCCAATAAAGAACATGTCTCATCTGCCTTTCATTTCTTCTTTCAACACCTGAAAGCCTGCTCCAGTGCACTCACTAGCCACGGAGTTCACTGTCCACAGACAGGTATCAGGGTTTGTTTTTTTTTTTAGAAATATTAGATATGCCTAAATCCAGAGTTACTTTCTTTGGCAGCTCTCAGGAAGCAATCAAGAATGTGTTGGAGGTTGGTAACAGTGGAGCTGGTGGGAGAGCCCAAGGACACCCTCTGGCAAGTATGGCCAGGCAGCTGCTAAGGAAAGCTTTTGGCTGTCCTTGCTCCACAGCCACCAAACCACCAGCAACACCTTCCTGGTCAGTGAACCAAAATTGTTATTGAAACTGCAAGGCAGGGGTGGCCTAGCTGCAGTTGCTGACAGCACAAAGATCCGATTATTTAGACAATGAGGATTGCTAAGGAAGAAAGGAATTGTAATGTAAAGCCATCTGGTTGGAGAATGGGGAGGAATCCATCTCCCTGAGCAACAGGGATTTTAAAGAGAAGCATTAGGGCAGGTCACAGGCATTGGGGCAGGTCATGGAGGATGGTGATTCTTGGCATCAGAAATCTTGCTCAAGGGTCTTCCGAATCACAACTCCTTTGTAATTTGTAAAAATTCCACCATTTCTGGGAAATGGCTCAAGAAGTTCAAGTAGTTATTTAAGGGAGGAGATCATAATAAAACATAAAGTTGTCACTGAAATTTGTTCATAGAGCCCATTACAACACTTGTAATCCTAGCACTTTGAAAGGTCAAGGCAGGAGGATTGGCTGAGGCCAGGAGTTCAAGGTCAACCTGAGCAACATAGTGAAACCCCATATCTACAAAAAAAATAAAATAAAATGGCTGGGTGTGGTGGCATGTGCTCATACTTCCAGCTACTTGGGAGACTGAGGCAGGAGGAATGCTTCAGACCAGGTGTTTGAAATTGCAGTGAGCTGTAATGACCCCACTGCAACTCTATACTGGGCAACAGAGAGATCCTGTCTCAGAAAAAGAAAAAAAAAACAAATTCAGGAACAGCCTTCTCCCTGCAACTCATATGTAAAAAGGCAAGTCAAGCCTGGAGGATGATTCTTAAAATACCTTAATAACAATATGCATTAGCCAGATCCTGCTGGGAAAGGTAAAAGGCCTCAGACATCTACAAGGACTGCCCCCACAAAATCATTCATAAGGATATTCTTTGCTGGCCTCCCATAAACAAAAACATGCAAATTGTAACTTTAGGTCTACCAGCTAACTCTAGCTCCTAAAAATAAAGTCTGTTAGAGTCTACACTGATAATATTGATTGTAAATTTATCTTCCCATGTGCAGAACAGAGACAAGACAAAATCAATCATTCTTCCACCTACCCAGGGGCATCTACATAATTGATTCCTCCATTACTCTCTTTTCTCTTCAACTATTCACCTTATCTTATGTAAAATGTAGATTTCCTGGGCATTAACTAAAGTCTCACAAGAATGTAACTATTTGCCTCACTACCAAACCCCTCTTTCTTTTTCTTTCTGTATGTCTTCTCTCCTTAAATATTGAGTTCTTAAATCCCTTTTTGGAGCACACAGGCCACAGATAACTTCTGTGATTTGTGCTTTTCCCTGGGCACATCCTCAAACTTCAGCTTAATAAACCTCTATTGATTGAGATCTTTGCCTTAGTCACTTATTTTGAGTTGTTACATCTTATACAAAAATTATTTCAAGTTGGTTTAAACCTTAAATGGGAAGGGAAAAAGTAAACAAAAATTTTAGAAAACATGACAGATTGTTTTATGATGTTTTATTTAGATAGTATAAAAAAGCAACAAATTGTGCAAAGGACAAAAGAAAATACTGATAAACAATATCATATTAAATTTTAACATATTATATCAATAATCTATTGCTGAATAAGTTCAACAAATATATATTATTACTCATGGGTTTATCTCAACTAGAAAGTTTTGCTGATGTAAGTGTTACTGAAACCTCAGCACTTGTCCATAAGGCTGCATCAGAAGAAAGAGGACAATTGGTTGAGGAGAAGGAGAGAAGTTTATGACTTTGCTGAAAAGGGAGAAAAAAATGGCAGACTCTCATTTCAAAATCCAAATTTCCTGAACATAAACCAAAATACAGAACTTTTAAAAGGAGGGCCATAGGTGTAGGCTATTGTTGCTAATGATTTTAATGGCCCCATCTCTGCTAAAGACAAAGCCCTGACCTCTGTCCACCTGGTGGCCCAGACCTGGGATCTCTGAGCTGTCTCCTGTAATACAAAGAACAAAAGACATTCCCCTGCCCCTCCTGGCCTGAGGCAGGGATGCAGGGCAGTCTGCAGTTCCTAAAGAGTAGAGAAAGAGTCAGAAATAACTTTGCCCTTTTTTTCTTTCAGGTCATTCCCTCTGTTACATAAGCTCCATTGATCTGAACTGAGTTTACTCATACAGATATCTGTGGTCAACTGATGGATCAACAGGGAGATGGCTAACTTTTGACTGGAGCAATGTTGTTGACTAGGACATGTGTCTCTCATTATAGAGCAGGTAAGCATGGGTATGTTTACATTTTAATGTCAAGAGAGAGAGAGTAGACATATGCAAGGCCAAGGCTCAGAACTAGCTTGGTATTGCTTCCACCATATTATTTTGGCCAATGCAAGCCACAACCCATTAAAATTCAAGAAGTGGGGAAATAGCTTCTAGTTGTTGAAGGGAGAAGCTGCAAGTTAATTTTATGATACTATAGAAAAAGCACAAAGATAAGCCTCAGAGAGAAGATATTTATAATAAACTAGCAAATAAATTGTTGTAAAGCTATTGTATTTAATACTATGGCTTCTGGCAGAACAGATATATTGAACAATTAAATTGAAAAGAGAGCCTGGAAGCTGGCTCATACATATATAGACATTTGACATATGAGAAAAGGACGAATTTTCTAATAAAATGGAGCTTAACATACTCAGTTATAAATAAGGAAAAAAAAATTTTTTTAAAGGTACACTACTTCTCACTAAATACAAAAATCAATACAAAAATATCTCCAGCCAGGATTACAGTAGCAGCATAGATTTTTGAAATAGCTAAGCTACAAATTTCATGTACAATAAATTACAAGAGATAGCATGAAAAACAGAATAACACTCACTGAAAATAGTTATCAGTCATACATAATTCAAGTAGATTAAATAACATTAAAGCTATAAAGACCTTAAATAACATAATCAATAGGGAAGATTTAATACATATATGTGTATACCCATACATTCTCAAACCATGATATATTTATTATCTATTGCACACTGATAATAAAGAAAGCACCTTGTTTTCAAGGGTGAAGAGGGCATTTACCAAAATGGACCAAGCAAAATATATTGGATCAGAAAGATAAAGACAATTTTTAAAAGTAGAAATAATAACTTTCAGTATTCTCTAAACAGAATACAAGAAAATATTAAATATTTAAAACTTTCTGTTTGAAAGATTAGGTAAATGATAGATAGAAGATAAATACATTTTTAGTAAAGCAATTCTTTTGTCCAAGGGAAAACATAATAGGGAATTGAAGATACAAGGATAAGAAAAGTGTGACTCAGGAGAATCTTTAGGAGATTGCTAGGGAACTGCTCAGAGAAAAATTTATGGCACTAAGTTATTAACCCAATAAAAAGGGAAATAAAAATTCAAACTAAGACTAGAAAAAGAATATAAAGAGAAAGGTGACAAAAACGAAGAATGTATTTAATGAAAATGAAAGAATAAGGTAAACTGAAAAGAGATATGCATTTATGAAAAAGTTGATTCTTTAAAAAATGAATATGGTCAACAAACCATTAGGCAATCTAATTTTTTAAGGATATAAAGTCCAGGAACAGCTACCTGAACATATATAAATATAAGACATGATTGGAGAGAACTAGCTAACAAAAGTCAGGAAAATTTTAAAACAAATGAAATTAAATTTTCAACTTTATGAAAATAAGTTTTTGTAGATAGACTCATGACATAAATGTTTTTAAGATATTCAATTTTACTAGGCATAGACCTGTGCTTATCAGTAGGATGGGTAGATCAAAGTCTGAAATGTACATACAAAATGATTATATTTACAAGACAATGTAGATGCTTTTAAAAAGCACAGTTTGTGAAAATATTTTATTTAACTAGACACACATATAAAGACTAAAATAGATACATTCAAATACATTCAAATTTAGGCTACTGGTTATTGAAAGTCATGAACACAAAAGCAGAAAGACATGCCATAACAGACATTATATATGACTTATAGCCAATAAGAAGTAAACTGTCAAAATATACAAAGAATTACCACAAATCAATAAAGAAAAGATTTTTTAAAGGGCAAATTATATGAATAGCCATTTCAAACAATAGTAAACAATGAAATACAAATAAATGAAATAATGTGTAATCTCACTAATTGTCATGGAAATCCAAAGTAAAAATATTTTCTACAAAGTTATAATTTACATATTTATAAAGATGTATGTTATATAAAGTATAAAAGATTTGTAATGATTAATCTTTGCTTATACAACATGATATTGAACATTCCTAGCACTGAAAGTTTTATATATACTTTCTAAAACACCTGAGCATTACATAGTGAAATGCTAAGTTAGTTATAAATTTGCAGTTTCACTCTGCACATATACATCAGAAAATTCATGCAAGACTGTTCTACTTTTCATGCAAGAGCTCTACTTTTTGTGGGAGTACCTTTATTTATGTATGCAAATTTTCATATTATGCTATCATGCTAAATTATTTTCCAAAGTAATAACAACAGCTTAAACTCTCTCCAGAAAGGTATAAGACTTCTCGTTGGCTCAAGTTCTCACCAGCACTTATAATTTTCAAATTTATGAATCTTTAATAATCTTGTGGCTATAAAATTTTATTTCATTATGGTTTAATTTTATTAACTGAATAATAATTGGGTTTAGCAGCTATTTAGATAAGATATTTTTAGGAAAATTGTTTATTTATAACAGGAACCTTTTTAAAAATATATGTATTATATGGCAGCAGGAAGACATTCTATTATAAACACAACTATAAATTATGAAATATCCACAATAAATTGAGGTCATTTATTGATTTAGCATGTAGTGGATGTTTTTATTACTTATAAATTTTGAAAGACATTCTATATGCATGAATTTATATAACTATATGTGTTTGTATAAAATATATAAGTACTATTTTAAAAACATGTATGAATTATACCCTATGTACAATACATTCACCAATGATGTTACAAAGTAATCCTCAGGCACCAGGAGACATGTAAAAGAATTTTTGGAGTAGATATACAGACACAATCAAAGTGTATACTGATAGTAACTGGACAAATAAGTCGTCTTATATGCACTTAATGGAATGGCATAGGTCAGTGAAAATGGTTGAAATAACAACAAGAAGCAACATATATCAGACTCATAATGCTAAAAAGTCAAGTCTAGAAAACTACATATAATATGATGTGATTTTCATGTACTTCAGAAAGAAAGAAAACAAGCAATATGCAATTTACATATACATATATGTGAGATGCCTTGGCAATAGGGATGTTGTATAGAGCTGCTGACAATAGCAAGATCACAGCACCTTTTCACTCATATGGTAGTTCCTTACAATCAGATGAATTTAGAATAAAACATCCAAGCCTGGTTTATAGATTTTTCTGCATGACATTCTGGTACTATCTAAAATTACATGGCGGCTGCATTACAACACACATTAATGGTGACTTTGAAGGAAAGCAATGAAGGAAAATTCTTCCAGTGGGCAGACAAGCCATTGACTTATACATTTGTTGTCTGCTTTATCTGGACTGACACATGGCCAGAAGTATTGATCTACATTGACTCATGAGTGATTTCTAATGGTTTGGTTGGCTGGTCATAGGCTTAGATGGAGCATGCTTGGAAGATTCGCAAAAATGAAATCTGGAAAAGATAGACCTCTCAGAGTAGACATAGGCTGTAAAGATACTGTGTTCCATGTTAATGTGCACCAAAAGTCATCCACTGCCAAGGACAGTGTAAATAAATCATGGGTGGACAAAATACCATACCTTGTGAATTTCAGTGTCTTTTTCCTCAGTTACTCCAGTGTTTTTCAAATGAGCTTATGGGAGATGGAAGGACAGAGTTTACTTATGGGCTCAATAAAATAGACTTCCCCTTCCCATGGCTTTACTCTTGCCAATGATCTTACATCCATTGTAGAGTCTTCTGCAGTATTGCTTATGAGCAATTAATTTATTTCACAGCAAAGTAAATACAACAATGTACTCATGCCCAATGTTAACTTACACATTTCCTACATCATCACCCAAAAATGGCTTTCCTAATAGAAGGTTCAAAGAAGGTACTTAACACTTATTTACAGTGACATTAGAAGACAACCCTCTCAATGGATGTTCTGTCTTACAAATACAGCATATACTTTGTACCAGAGAGCATTATATAGTGTGGTCTTGCTTATAGACAGAATAAATAGGTCCAGGAATCAAGAGGTGAATTGTTGGTATCTCTTCTCACTATTATATACCTCATAATCCCTAGGCAGAATTTTTTTTTCCCATCTAAGTACCATCAAGATCTGAAATCTTAGAAATCTTAGTTCCTAAGGGATCTATGTTTCCATTAGGGCACAAACAATGGTTCAATTAAATTGCAAGGTGAGACTGCTGCCTGGACATTATGGGTTCAGAATATCCCTAAAGCAATAGGCAAAGAAAGAGGGCTACTCCCCAAGCTAGAATATTAAATTCTAATTATCCAAGGAAAGACAGTTTGCTGCTATACAATGACTCATTCTAGAAACTAGACCATTCTCTATAGCATCCTTTATTATTTCCATGTTGAATATAGAGGTAAATTAAAAGTGACACCAACCAATAACAAATAAATAAAGAAAAAGCCTCAACTATCTGAGATTCTGGCTGAGAAAAAAGTCAATATGGGTTGTGGAGTGAGAAAAAAGCAAATTGTAGATATCACAATGCCCTTGTGACCAGTTATAAAAGCCATAGTAGTGGTTTTGCATATTTCATTTTGCTCATTTTAGTGTATACAGTTATTTGTATGTATTAACACTTGTTTCCTTATTTTCCTTCTTTACCTTACTATTTTATACAAATTGATGATAACTTTATAATTTAGCATTTAGGCAATGGAATATTAAGTAAGAATTTCAATAAATTTTAATCGAAATTTAACTAGCAATGGGTACAATAACATTGGGACATGTATCTTTATTAAGTGGATGAGGTGAGTATCTTGCAAATATGAATGATAGTTTCCTTTTGTTAGGTGGACATATCCAGTTGTGTTACTCTTGTGTGAAAGTTGGAATGCATGCATGAGGGTACAAATGTGTATAGAAGGGTGCCCAGGCTAGAACAGAGGGAAGGAGTTTCCTCTTTCTTCCAAGTTCTATCTTCTAAGTTCCTTTCTTGTTTATTTCCCCTCAAACTGGGAACAATAGCTGCTTCTTCAGTTACTACTTTGCACCTCAAAGATTCCTCCATAACTGTTTTTAGCATTATTCGCCTTTTACTAAATTTTACTGTTCAAGTTACTGGTGTGATTTCTGAGTCCTATCTACTGTCTTAAGTCATTGATAAAATCTTGAGTAGTTTAAGTGGAATAATGCATATACATAGGAATTTTCTCCTCCATCACCATAAGCCAATTATTCTTGAGTTTTGATGAATTAAAAAGACTTAGATTTCCACTTAAAGCTGTCAAAAATAATTCAAAATCTAAGCTGTTGGAACATGAAATTAATTTAAGCCTTAAAGGAATGTGATTATGAGATCTGAGTCATGTGACAGACAGCTGTAATTCAGGCAGCTACACCCTTGGTAGCTCTAAACTTTGTTCTTCTCAGTATAGCTTAGCCTCTTTTTTACCTACATTGTTTTGTAAAATGTCATAAAAGACTAAAGGGTACCAGAGAAGACCACTTCTCTCTTCACTGGTGATCTTTATGATAAATTAGCTTCCTTCTTACTTCTCTTACACAAAAGCCTCATGATTAGTACATTGCCTAAGATGGAATGTTAAGTATATTCTTTTAAATCAAAAAAAGGAAAAACAGCTGTAACTAATCAAATTGCTGTAACTTATGAAACAGCTTTATATAAAAAAAGGTTGCAATGCCATGAAATTTCTTTGTTTTCTGCTGATATAAGCAAGACTTCAACTTTTCAGCTTTGGAGTACTGACCTCTTTCCTTTGGAGTCTGTGTTGTCCAAATGGCCATTGTCAGCTTTTTGCTTGAATAAACTCTTTTAAACTGGCTTATGATCCATTTGATTGTTTCAGACTGGGAAAGCTCATGGAAAAATCATTCCCAATGTATTGTCCTTAATGGAGAGATTTTTGGAAGGGGGATCACATGAGAATAGAACCCTGAAAATGACACTGATAAATAGGTCATTATACCTTGTCTTACATTTTTTAAATGTGACATTACTCCATCAATTATAACAATATCTGGAAACAAATATTTTTATAATTTTCTTTGCCTGGAAAGAAAATTTTATCTTAATATATCTATAAAAACCTGAGTGGGAAACAGAGAGAGAGAGACAGACAGAGAGAGAGAGAAGAATTAAGAAGAGAGAAAGAGGAAGGGGGAAAATAACGTTTTGTATGTGAGTGGGAACTGAGAGACAGAATGAGAAAGATTAGGGAATAATGAAAAAGAAATCATAGAGATTGTTGTCAAAGAGGATGTACTTTCTCACAAAGCTTCAAGATTCTCAGTTATAAAATACTTATAACTTGACTATTTGCAAGACATTTACAAGGATGCTCGATGAATGTATCTATAAGTACTCACTTTCAGTTTACAAATGGACACTAATGGCAGGCACTCACAGTTGTATTTTATTGATACAATAAAACCAACCACCTTCTTAAACTACTACTACCCATAAATAGTAAAGGAAAGGAAGATGAAATATTATAGGTATTTCAATTATGCCTGAAAACTGTTATGAAAAGCTACATTAAGAGTAAAATGGGTTAACATTTTGCAACATATATAGACATTTTTAAAATATGCCCTGACCTCTACTAAACTGTAAGCAAGTAAAACTCTCAAAAATTATAAAAGGTAAAGAAACCAGATTAAACATCATCTGTTATTGTGACTAAAGTTCTCCCAATTGTATAATGTTTCTCAAGTATATTTTTCTGTTAATGTGTTCTCTGTGCCATATTTTTAAACATAAGTTTAATAAACTAGTGTCATATAAGAACATAAACAAAACACTTTTTGTACAATAAATGTTTGTATAATAAAAACCAAGAAATGTCTTCATCAAGAATTTCAATCTTGGGCCAGCAAGAGCCTTTTTTATCTTCTGAAAAGCAGTATTCAGTTACATGGCATTTAAATTTCTCTAATTTAACACTATTGAATATTGACAAGAAAATTATTACTAAATGGTATAAAAATTGCTCTTAGAAGGTCATACTCTTGTGAGATCATTCCATTTGCCCAATGAAACTTTGAGAAATGGATTTCTTCTCTTCTGGCAGTAAGTAGTGCCCCAGAGTACTAATGGAATAATTTTATTTGATCTGAATAAGGTGTTTGCTTTTATCAGTTTATTAATAAAACATTATAATAATAATTGTATTATTGAGCCAGGTTTAATTTATTTATGTGAAGGCAGGTATCACTATACTTGGAACTATCAAAGACTCAAATCAAGCAAGTAAGGAGATTTTTTTACCACATGTTTTCATTGTGTAATTTCCATAATGGGTGTAATGGCTCTTATAATGCACGTCAGGAAAATGTAAGTGATTCACCCTGTGGAGTTCTCTCACTTATCCTGTTGTTGGTTCATTTATAAAGTGATCATTTAAATCTCCAGAGAGACACATGGTCAACAGTTGGGTGGTGATTTTGAATATGTGGACATACTGGACAAGAATTCCAAAGACAGAGTGATTGCCCTCTATTCCCCAATGGGGTACAGAAGCTCATATGTCCTTTTTCATAGGGGAGGGAGGAGAAAGGGAATATAGACAATTCTTTTAGGGGCAGTGAATGAATATTAGGGAGAATAAGCAAAAAAGGTAGAAAAAATTAACTTGTAAATGATTCTCTTTGGAATTTGAATGAGCTCCAGAGACAGGTATTTTCCTGTGAAAAAGACCATCCAGGTGTGGTTATACTTCTCAGCTGCCTTTTTTCTGTGATAAAGGATAAAGATGGCCTACTATGCACAGGTATTATGCTCCTCCTCTATGGAGAAGAAGCAGAATAGGAAGCAGATTCTCGATTCTCACATTTCAAACAGTTCATCTGGGAGAAAACACTAGAATTCACCAGAGACGTGATAGGAAGCACCAAAAGTGGATAAGGAGAGGCTATAGGGCCACTTGCCCAGCAGGGAATAGTCCAACAGAAGCGAGAAGCTCTTCAATGTGGGAAAATAGTAAGAGAGAAGTCCTCAGGTCTCCACTCACCTAGATGAGCTTTCACAGTCTTGGCTACAAGAGAACCCGCTGACCCACACAGGTCTTAGGCCTAACATAGGGAGCTGCCTAGAGATTATTCAAAGACATTGTTCCAGAAGGAGAACCCACATGAATTCCATAAGAATCCAAGCCTAGAGCAGCTCGAGGCAGGCACCATTCTGAGACCCTAGATACCAGGAAACCACAGGCACACCTGCAGCCACTGTGTAGCTCCAAGGAGAGATACAGGACCTCAGGGGCTCCTGCAAACCCCTGGAAAGTTCCCCAGTGACCACCTGTCGGCTTATGTTGAGACTGAGACATGAATAAATACCATTTTCCAAAGTTTCCCACCCATGCTGCCTACCTTGGTGGCCACAGCCTACCTGGTTACAGGTCCAAGGAGCCATTTTTGAGAGATTGCCAGTGGGCTGCACCTAACCCTTGGGCTGAGTTTGGGCTTGATCTGGCTGCAGCAGCCCCTATCTGGCTGAGGAGGGCCAGAGAAACCAAGCTTTCCAGCATGCCTCTGCAGCCAGCTGCTTTGAGACTGAGTCTCAAGTGAACTCTACTCCCCACAGTTTCCTGCCAATGCAGCCTTGCCCTCTCTGATCACAGACCCAGGGTGCCATGCTGGGAGTTCGAATCTGTCCCATATCCTCACTTACAAGTGGAAGCTAAACTATAGGGGGTTTACCTCACTTATGGGGTACAGTGTACACGACTGGAGTGACGGGTACACCAAAAACCAAGACTCTATCATTATACAAAATATACATGCAATGGAATTCAACTTTTATTCCCTAAATCTATTAAAAAGTAATAAAAACATCTACCTGTTATAGAGAGTGTACCAAGGGAAGTTGCCATCTATAGGAAGCTTCTGGCACACTGCAGGATGCTGCCAATCCAGGACCCCTAAACCAAGGAAGAAATGCTCTTTCCCCCTGCAGTGCTTCTCTGGTTCTGCTACACAGCCATAAAAAGCACAAACTATTGATACAGACACTATGTATTGCTTCGATAGACATTATTTTGAGTGAAAAGAGCTAGACATCAAAGAGTATATACTGAATGGTTCCATTTATCTGAAGTTCAAAACCAGGTAAAACTTATCAATGATGAAAGAAGTCACAAGAGTGGCTACCTTTGGTGGAGACTTGTTGACTGGGAGGAGCACAAGGAATCTTCTGGATAGCTGAATACATTTTATTCTTGATCTGGGTGGTGGTTTCATGGGTGCAAACATATATAAAAAATTCATTGAGCCATACATATAACATTTGTATACTTTATTGTATATAAATTATAACATCTTAATATTTTCATAATTTTAATTAAAAAAATCTCTGAAAAAGTAAAAAAATATGGGAGAAGAGAGAGTATAGGCTTATGCAAGGTGGAAGTTTTAATCGCGAACTATCAAAACTAAGAACAATGTTATAAATTAATTGAACAGTAGAGATAATTTAAAAAGGATTATTTAAAGTACAATGAAGAAAACCATGAAAGCATACTCAATATATAATACAATATTTTCTGTGATGCTTACACATGAAATGTTATTTTTTTTTATTTTAGCGTATTATGGGGATACAAGTGTTAAGGTTACTTATATTGCCCATGCCCCCCTCCCCCCTCAAGTAAGAGCTTCAAGCATGTCCATCCCCCAAACATTGCACATCTTACTCGTTGTGGTTGTATACACCCATTCCCTCCTCCCCCCCCACTCTCCCGACACTTGATAAATCTCCTATATGTCCACTTAGATGTTGATCCGTTAATACCAATTTGCTGGTGAGTACATGTGGTGCTGGTTTTTCCATTCTTGAGATATTTCACTTAGTAGAATGGGTTCCAGCTGTATCCAGGAATATACAAGAGGTGCTATATCACCATTGTTTCTTAAAGCTGAGTAGTATTCCATGGTATACATATACCACATTTTATTAATCCACTCATGAATTGATGGGCACTTGGGTTGTTTCCACAGCTTTTCAATTATGAATTGTGCTGCTATAAACATTCAAGTGCAGGTGTCTTTTTCATAAAGTGACTTTTGATCTTTTAGGTAGATGCCCAGTAGTGGAATTGCTGGATCAAATGGTAGATCTACTTGTATCGCTTTGAGGTATCTCCAAATTCTTCTCCACAGAGGTTGCACTAATTTGCAATGTGCTGTTGACCCTAAAATAATTCCAGTTGTCATTTGGTTTGAAGAAATAGTAGAAATTGAGATCCCATTACTAGGTAGGAGTTAACTCTATTAGAAAATTCTCATTCATAGGAGACTACAGTTTTTATTTCTTTCAAGTCAAAAAAGAACACTATTTTTTACATAGTTTCCAAACTTTTGCAATTGTCTCACTCATACTTAATTTAGCAACATCTCTTAGGCATCCTAACTTTATCAGGTATTTTCGAAATATGTTTTCTCTGTTTATTTCATATTTTACCAATATTCAGAACATCTTTACCTTGTGAATGCCTTAGAACTATGATGAGTCAATTATGAAGTCAGTTAAAACATATTCTGCTCTATTTTTATATGCTTCGAGTTAAAATATTTAAGGTATTCATGTCTATTTTTTTTCAGTAAAGACTAACTTTATTTTATTTTTGTATTTCTCAGGTAGAATATTTAAGGTATGCACATGTTAATTTTTTATGATTCTTTGCTTTACTTACTGTTTGATTCTCTAACTAGCTACTAGTACAGATGGAGTAGAATAAGTGGCCTACTGCATGCTGCCAAGAACAATGTTGTATTTTTATTGTTACTGACTAAAACGAGGATTAGGAGTGTTTTTGGATATCAACTAATCTTGGGATTTATACTTCGCAATGCTATGATTAACTTAAAATAACTTGCACTATCTAAT